CCATTAAATCAAACGTCAGCTCAGAGTCTGGGAACTTTGGGAAAGCTGAATAGGGGTAAAATTCAAAGGATGCTATTATGACTGAAAAGTAAGTATTTCTGCTTGTCCTTGGAAGCAACACAAATAAGGCTTTTCTGTTTAGTGGAATTCTTTATGTCTCAAAAAACAGCTATTATGTCTTTTTCTCATGTTCCCTTAAGTTTTTCTTTTTCAAAATTAAAATTCAAAGTATATTTAATTCTTTAACTGTTTTATGAATTCCATAATCGTTTTAAAACTAATTTGGCAGTCTTTTACTTGTCTTTACAATTTGGGGTTATATTTACTCCTCCATTTGTGCACGTGCTTCACCCACTCTCCACCATCCTCCTGTGCTCATGACCTATCCCTTTCCTTCCTATCTCCCCCAGTTCTTTCTGGTAACCAGTACATCTTTCATTGAGTCTAAGATTTATTTTTGCTGTGCTTTGCCAGTATGTATTTTTTTTTGTTATTTATATTCCACAGTAAGTGAAACCATCTGATCTTCTACTTTCTGACTTATTTCACTTACTACAAACACCTTGTGACCCATCCATTTTGTCCCAAAGTTCACTATTTCATCTTTTTTAATAGTTCAGCAGTATTTCATTGAGTTTATATTCCACAATTTCTTTATCCAATGGTCTGTCATGGGGCACTTAGCTTGGTTCCATGACTTGGCTATTGTGGAAAGTGCTGCTATGAACACTGTAATCTTTGTTTCCGGAACTCTTATGAATATAATTCATTTCATCAATTTCTCTCTCAAAATGTAGCCCCTATTTTACCGTGAATTTCTGGTTGTAACACAGAATCTGATGGAGTCGCCTTTCTTATAAGCACTGTGACTTAAACATGCTTCCCTCTCATCTCTTTAAAAAGAGGGGCTTTGGCAGTCAAAACATATAAAGAACTTTTTTTTTTTTTTTTCATAAGAGAATTGCTCCTTTGGTTCTGGTTCCAGATGACACTCTTTTGAGTGGTCTGTCTCTTTTCTCTCCTTTCCGCCTGCCCTCTCCCTCAACAACCTGCTGCTTCTCTACCCTCTTTTTAACCTGTTTCATCTGAAAAAAGGAGTGGAAGGAAGCCCAAATGTTTCCTTAGAACACGGTACAAAAAATCCAATTATAAGATGAAGAAAGATTGTTTTATGTCTCTTATTATGCACATAAAGCTACTTTTCAAAAATATATAGCAATTGATAGTGCCACCAAAATTATGTGCAAATTTAAAATAAACCAAAAAAAGAAAAATAGAGCAAAAACAAAAAAACAAACAAGTAGTGCATTCTTTCATTTTACTTTTTATTAATTATGTCATCTTTTTTTAGTTATTTAAATTGTATGTCTTTATTTAGTGACAGTAAACATTTTTACCTTTATAAGTTATGTTTACCTTTATAATTTATGTTTTACCTGTACAATTTCAAGTGATTGAAAGAAAAAGGAAATCAGTACTTAGTTTTTTTGTAGATAAAGATTTATTAGTGGGGGGAGGGAAGTATAAATCAAGCTATGTTGTTTTCTAAAGTCATGTTTGCCCTGAGGAAAATAAGCTTCTAATCATTTTTTAGAACTCACAAAAAGCTCACAGAGGACTCAAAAAAGTTTATGCTAGTTTGAATGACAAAGTCTCTTAATTTAAGAGACATTGGATAGAGATTTCACAAAGGTTATAACTTAGTATTTGGGGCTCAACCCCCAAAGGTTGTTGTGGGCCCATAACAAAGCTTAAACACAATCTTGAAGATATCAAACTGATTACAAGATACTAAATTGCATACTGGAACAATGGAGAGCCATGTTTAAAGGAACATAACAAATTTCAACTTCATACAACATAATAGTTACAGTATCTAACATCCTATCAAAAATAACCAGTCATGCAAATAAGCAGGAAAATATAATCCATAACTAAAAGAAAAATCCATCAATATAAATAGATCTATAAATGACTTTTATATAGATCTATAAGTAGATCTTTAAGATCTCAAAGCAACTATTATACATCTTATAAAATATATTCTAGGACATAAAGAAAACCATAAATATGATGAAGAAAGATGGAGGACAGACAAAAGACCAATGTAATATCTGGAGATAAAAATAGATTTAAAATAGTTTACATATATATATTATATGGAAAGAATATCAAGTTAGATATTGAAGAAGAAAAGATCCATAAACTTGAAAATGTAGGAATATAAACTTGAAAATAAGTAAAGCGAAAAAAGACTGAAAAAAATGCCAGTCTCAGCTGTGGGACATTATCATGTGGTGAAAGATAAATGTAACTGGTGTTCCAAAAAAGAATTGACAGGGGAAAAAATGTGAAGAAATAATTATGGCTAAAGCTTTCCCAATTTAGATGAAAGCTATAAATTCAGAGAATTGGAAGCCCAATAAATTCCAAGAGACAGAAAATAAATAAACGAAGCCAACGCACATCATAATCTAATAGCTGTAACTCAGTGATAAAGAGAAAAATCTTAAAAGCAACAAGAGTTTTTAAAAAAAACACATATTTCTTATAAAGAAAAAAAGATAATAACCAATAATTGATGTCACAAGTCCTGCAAACCAAAAAAAAATAATGGAAGAAAATTGCAAAGTGCTGGAAAGAAATTGTTAATATAGAATTTTGCATTCAATAAAAAATATCTCTCTAAAATGCAGATAAAATTCTTTCCAGAACAATACATTTGACCACATAGATGAAATGAACGAACTTCTTGAAAAATAGCATTTACCAAAGCTCATTTGAAAAGAAATAGATAATCTGAATAATCCCATGGCTAACAAGGAAACTGAGTAAATAGCTATATGCCTTAACAAAAAGACAACTCCAAGCCCATATGGCTTCAATGAAGAACTTTTCCAGTTATTTAAGGAAAAATAATGCCCAAATACACAAACTCCTTCAGAAAAAAGAACAGAAAGGAATACTTCCCAGAACATGTTATAAATTCTGCATTACCTCAATAACAAAACCAAAAACAGTACAATAAAAAAAAAACTTGATCAATATATTTCGTATACATAGATGCCAAAATTTTAGCAAATTGAATCCAAATATACATGGCTATATATTTTAAACATTTGAGTCAATGATTTTTGGGAGTATTAACTCAAGGTTACATTCCTGTTATAAACCCAAGTTGGTCACAATTATTGTAATTAATATTTATGGTAATTATACATGACCAAGTAGGTTCTATTATGCCAGAATAGAACCTTTAAAGGTTCTTAAAGGTTCTATTATGCCAGAATAGAACCTTTATTTAACATTGAAAAATTAAGTAAAAATGTGAAATAGAATAAGCAATGTAAAAATAGAATATGAAAGGAGAATCATGATCCTCTCAATAGGTGAGCAAAATGTCAATACCAGCTCCCGAATAAAATAATAACTCTCAGTAAATTAAGAGTACGGAAGTATTTCCCCAATCTCATAAAGTGCATCTATGAAAAACTATATCCAACTTACATAATAGTATAAGACAATGTTTTGCGTGAGGCAATAATGTCAATTCTCACCAGTCCCATGCAATATTTTGTTAGAGGTTTTATTTTTATTTATCATAACATCACTACTGCTATATCATGATTTTCATTATTTCATTATTTTCACTCAGTTTTTAACCTCTGTGAGGTCAGGGACCTACCCTGCCTTGTTTTTCCTATGTCATTAGGTCCTAGAGCAGTACCATGCACAAAATAGGTGCTCTGAATATTTGTCAAATGAATAAACTTTTCTATAGTACTGTGTCAGCAAGGTACACTTGTGGGACAGAAGCAATTCTATGCAACTTCATTTTCCCTAATAAGTAATATTTTTACCAAAAGTTTTCTTGTCTTTAATATGTTCCAAAGCTTAGTGACCCCCAAATAAATTCTTGTAAAATTTATTATTTCCATTATGAATTCTTTCTCTAAGAAAATGCTGAGACAGCTTGACTTGGGTTCATCAGCGTCTCCTACACTGTGGTGCTTTTTTCCCAAGATAAGTCTTGAAATTTTCTGATGTAATTGTTTCCCTTTGTAGATGATTGAATAATGTTCCCCCAAATTTCATGTCCACCTAGAACCTCAGAATGTGACCCTATTTTGAAATAAGATGTTTGCAGATGTAATTAGTTAAGAGGAGATTATGTTGGAGTCAAGTGGACTCTATACCCAATGACTGCTATCCTTTTAAGATGAGGAGAGGACACAGGTACTCACGGGAAAGAAGGTCACATAATGACAGAGGTAGAGATTGGACAGAAGCAGCTACAAGCCAAGGAACCCAAGGATCACTGTGAGTTGAGTCAGCAGGAGCCAGAAAATCAATACAAAGTAAAAATCAAAATCAACAAGCAACTATAAACCAGAGACACACTACAGGAGGTGGGGGGCCTGGGGGGTAGAAGGGGCGGGGAGAGGAAGGACTAGAGTCAAAATAAGGGGGGGGTGCAATTGTATGGGGAATATAACCATAATGAAAATGCATACGTTGTGCAAAGATGAAAAATGAAGTAAGAATTATATAAAATAAAGTGTTAAAAAAAAAAAAAGGGCAAGGAGGTATTCTTCCCTAGAGCCTCCAGAGGGAGCATGACCACAACAACACTTGCTTCTAGATTTTAGCTTCCAGAACAGTGGGGGAATAAATTTCTGTTAAGTCACCATGTGTGAGGTAATTTACTATGGTGATCCTCCGAAATGAATGCAACTTGCTGTGCCACGTGCTGCTCTATTACTCTTATAGTATTAATCTTACACTGTATGTGTTTACTTTCCTAATTATTCTGTTGGAAAACACATCCTGGAATAATAATATTACCACCACATTTGTCAAATTCAGTATGGCATCATTTTCAAAGCCCATTGCTCTGTTATGTCTGTCTCACTTGATGTGTTTGCCCTATTTTTCTCTAATGTTGTAATTCCCAAAATTCATTTGGAAAATTGGATAATATCTGCTCTTTCTTGTTGTAGGTATGCTGTTGTCATGGCTCGGCTTACTAGAGAAAAAAATAGGTATCACAAAAACAATGATCCAACTGAAGGAAAACATCACTTCCCAACTCCAAGTAATTAAGTTCAGTCTGTTTGTTTTGCTTTATTTTCAAAACGAATATAAGAATAATATTTAAGTTTTTTTCAATTCAATTAAGTTTAAATAAGTGGGAAGAACTTTTCCGTAATGATAGTGTTGAGTCCATTATGTCATTCAATACTGCCCTACCTCTGACTTTCCTCTTATGTGAGATTAAGACATTCCCCTGCTGCTTATACTAGTTTGAATTGGACTCTGTATTTCTTGTAACCAAAATTCATCCTTATGAATTCAGAAAGGCCCAAACATGGTTAGAATGAACTGGAGTAGTCCATCATTTCTCTCCAGCGAAAGACAAAACTTAGTTTTAAATTAATGAAAATGAGAGATTAATATTAAAATACAAAAATAAAAACTCACATAGGATAATGGCAGCTTTTGAACCCAAATCTCTCTACAAATCCTTCTAGAAACTAAGAGAACTCTCATAACCCTTGTCTATAGCACAACTAGAAGACAATGAATATTACATAGTTCATATGATGTGTCCCTAGGGAAATAAACATGAATTTGTCCTGGAACCCATACTAGACAATGAATTAGGTGGCAGCTATAAAGAAAGGAGGAGTGTGTGATGGGGTTGTAGAGGTGACAACATAAATAGCACCAGCGAGGGTTCATCCCTAGAAAGCAAGATCACTACACTGAATGGAAGATACTGAGAAATTTAGATTCTGTATCTACATTCTCCTTTTTAAAATGTAATAATTTGCACCCCCGCCCCCACCCCATGACACAGTGGTTGAGTGCTGGGCTACGAAGCTGCTTGCAGCCTCTGCAGCGCCCGTTTGATCCCTGGCCGCCAGCAAGGGTCCCACATGGTGTGCAGACCTCTCCTGCCGTGCCCTCTGCTCCCCTCAGCAGTGTATTTTGTCAGTCTGCCTGTTCTGCTCCCCGCTCTGGCTCTGGTGAATTCTCTCACCCTCCTGCGCTTCTGACTGTACCCAATGCTTGTATAAATAAATCTTTTACAAAAAAATGTAATAATTTGGGGCCTCTCTGGTGGCACAAGGGGTTAAGCACCACACTATGAAGCAATCTACGGCCTCTGCAGCACAAGTTCGATCCCTGGCCAGCCAGGGAGAAACCCACATGATGCAGCAGACCTCTCCTGTCTTGCCCGCTGCGCCCCTCAGCAGTGTATTTCAGTCAGTCTGCCTGTTCTGTTCCCCACTCTGTCTCTGGTGGCTCCTCTCACCCCCCATGTCTCTGGCCTATTCCCCAGCTCTTGTATGCATAAATAAATCTTTAAAAATATGAAAAAAAAATTTAAATGTAATAATTTTAATTATTTAATTGTTTCTAAGGAAAGATGGAAGCCTCTTTGCAATAATTATAAGGGTTTCCTAACCTGGCCTCAGCCTAAGTAGCCAGCTTCACTGAATTCATTGTGCACTATAACAATGATCTAGAATTCTATATATCTAAAATCAATGCTTGTTATTAGCTGGATGTCTTGGGCAAGTTACTGTAAGTCACTACATCTTGATTTCCTCATCTATAAAACAAGGATAATAATACCTGCCCATCTTAAGGGTTGTGTCTGAGTTAAATAAGTGTTAAATAATAATATACATGTAGTACAACAGCTGCCACAGTGTAAATTCTCATGTCAACTTGTGAGAGTACTCAAGTCCTCTGTATGTCTGTGTCCTCACTCAAAAGTGCTCCACCTCCTTTCTTTATCCATCTCTGTTTATCAGACTGCTCTTTCAAAGTCCAAGTCTGGTTTCACTTAGACATGGTTATTCTGTCCTGTGCTGCTTTTCCTTTATATGTAAACTGGCACCTAGCAGACACTTAGTAAATCTATGTTAAATGAATTAACTGACAAAGCACAAAAAGATTGGCCAAAATGGAAAGAATGTATCATAACAAAAAACATTAATTGCAAAATGTGAAATTTAGAAATTTTAAAGGGTTTCTTGCTTTCACAAAAATGATTATAGGTGTTTTGCTACAAATATAGCATCATTTCTATTTCTATTGTTTTCTCTTCATGTCTTTTAAGTTTCTGTTTTCTTATTTCCAATTCTAGTTCACTTTTCTCCTAATTCACAAAGTGAAACAGAAATTGTCACAAAGATTTATGAATCAGATGCAGATTGGAAGAATGACCAATTAACAGATTTTGAAGAATCATGGGAAGAAGAAGTTGCTGATCTGGTTGCCTGGAGCAAAACTCTTAACACAGATGGTTTACAAGATTAGGTCTAATGCCCTAAGCTTTTGTGTATTTATTACAACCCCAACCACAGTCAGCCTCATGGAACAACTCTGAAAGACTTTGAAAACTTAGGTCCCACTTTTTCTAGGTTGGCCTCATCCCTTCACTGTTAGTACAAATTAGAAATATAAGTACAGATAAGTGAATATGTTGCTATGAATTTTTTTAAGCTCTGCTGTTTAGAAACTAAATTATCCAAATTATGGGGTGTTCATTATAGTATTCCAATCAATGGTATTATACCCACAGTTGTTAGCCAACTAGAGGAAAGTTTTTGTAGGCAGAACCTGGGTCAGGAAGAGGCTGGGATTAGAGGGGAGTACTCAGGAGCTTTGGAGGCTGATTCCCAAGTGGGGGATCTATACATTTATTTCTATAGATCCCAAGGGGGGAATCTATACATTTATTTCTATCTGTCTGGTTGAGAGCCTTGTTCCCTCCTTTTGAAAGGATGAGCTGTCACCAATCCACTAATGTTCCCTTGCTGTATTCTCCAAGAATACATGCTCTGTTTTCTTTTCAGCCTTAAGAATCCATCTTCTCATATTCTCGTGTCTTTTCTTCTCCTCGTCTTTTTGCCGTATACCCTTAAAATATGCTTGTCTCTCCTAAATGCCTCCATCTTTGACCCTGCATTTTTATTTCCCTCAACAGTATATCACTCATATTTTCTCAGTCATTTATTAATAATAGTCTAGCATTTGCTCTTTTGATTTCTTTAATTCACCTCATGTTCATACCCATTGCACAATAAAATCTGCCTTTTGCTTATATCACTTGATTAAAATGCACTAAGATCCACCAGTCTTCCATATTGCCAAAATTCAGTAGATGCCATATCCTACCTGGATTTCTTTTTTCTTTTTTTTAAAGATTTATTTTTTATTTACGCAAGAGCTGGGGTAAGGCCAGATGCATGGGAGAGTGAGAGGATTCACGAGAGACAGAGCAGGGAACAGTGCAGCAGACTGACGAAATACACTGCTGAGGGGAGCAGCGGGCAAGACAGTAGAGGTCTGCTTGCCATGTGGGTTGCTCCAAGGCCAGCGGGGATAGAACCAGCACTGCAGAGGCTGTGGACAGCTTCACAGCGCTGTGTTCAACCTCTTGTGCCACCAGGGAGGTCCTTCCTACCTGGGTTTCTAGGGTATATTCAATATCATTAATCGCTTCTCTCAGTTTCTCTCTTTTTTAATATTTATTGCCTTGTCTTCAGAAAGACCTACTCACACAACTCTTTCCCACAAACACCCTGTAAGTGCCTGGGATCTATTTGTTAAATAGGTCTATCCCTTATTTGTAGAGAAGCTAACTTTATCCCCTATCAAAAATGAAAAAAAGCTCTGTTGTAGGTACTCAGATGTCTGGGCACTTCACTAGCAAACTAGCTGTTTCCAGGACCATCTGTGGTAGTTCAGATCCCATCTGATTGTAGTACCTGACATGTTTGTTTTCCTAACCAGCACCACAAAATGGTGGCAGTTATCCAGATTTCCTCCTACCTTTGTCAGGACCAAAGTACAGCCAAGAGCCAATTTCATGACTCCTGCCCAACTTGACCATATTAGAGCTCTTTTACACTGCTGAGGGGAGCAGCTGGCGGCAGGAGAGGTCTGCGCGCCATGTGGGACCCTCCTCTGGTGGCCGGGGAGCAGCCGGGGATCAAACCGGCGCCACAGAGGCTGAGGGCAGCTTCGCAACCCAGCGCTCAACCGCTTCGCCACCGGGGAGGCCCATTACTTGTTTTTTTTTTTTTTTTTTTTTTTAACAGAGGCATGTTTTATTTATTTATTTGTTTGTTTGTTTGTTTATACATGCACTGGGTACAGTCAGAAGCGCGGGAGGGTGAGAGAATCCACCAGAGCCAGAGCGGGGAGCAGAGCAGGCAGAAGGACTGAAGTACACTGCTGAGGGGAGCAGCGGGCGGCAGGAGAGGTCTGCGCGCCATGTGGGACCCTCCTCCGGTGGCCGGGAGCAGCCAGGGATCGAACCGGCGCGGCAGAGGCCGGAGGCAGCCTCGCAACCCAGCGCTCAACCGCTGCGCCACCGGGGAAGCCCCTACTTGTTTTTTTGATATGTGCCATTCTTATGCGCCATTGAAAAGGCCACTGTAAATGGTCCATCCCTTACATCGGGTAATCTATAGAATGGAGTTGAAAGATGGTTTTGTTGATGGTCATACCATTAGGGGCTGGGTTTCTAACTCCTCTCTGCTGGTTTGCTAGGAGGAAAAGACATTTCACAAAATAGGACCCACATAGCAATAGTTACCATGTATTTTTCCACCTCAGACAAAATCTCCTGTTTTGCTGAGTCTTCTGTTAAAAAATAAACTTGGAAAATTTAGCAAATAGAAGAACTCAAAAGTTACAAAAGGAAAGCTTTTAATAAGCAGAAGAGTGATTCTAGGTTGTTTGAGCAGCTTCAGTGAGGGATAATTGACATACAATAAATTAAACTATTCATTTGATATATGATATACCCATGTAACAATTACTACAATACAGATAGATTGTGAACATATCTGTCACCCCCAAAAGTTTCCTCATGCCTCTCTTTTGCCCAAATAACTTCCTGCCCTTGCTTCTTATTCACAGGCAGTTAGTGATCTTCTTTCTGTTACTATAGATTGTTATACATTTTCTACAGTTTTATATAAATGGAATCATACTCTAAATACTTCCTTTGTTTAGTTTTTCTCTTGCTCAGCATAATTATTGGAGACTGATTCACATTTTGTATGTCTTTTTTAAATTAATTAATTTATTTTAACATTTATCATTTTTTAATTTTTTTAGACAATGTTTGCTTCCCCCACCCCCTCAGATTGAGTCCCCATAGAAATTCCTTCTCCAAGGCACCCAGGCACCATCACCACAGTCCCCTGTGCTCCTTCCTCCCTCCCTCTGATCCCTCTCCCATCTCCTCCTCTGCAGTATCTCTCTGGTTTATAATTGTCTGTTTTTGCTTTGTTGTGTTTTGTACTGTTATTATTATTTTTTTATACTGATGTCTTATTTGGTTCCCCTATATTCCTTTTATAAGTGAAACCATCCAATATTTTTCTTTTTCCTTCTGGCTTATTTCACTGAGCATAATTCCTTCTAGCTCCATCCACGTTGCTGTGAATGGCATGAGTTTATCTTTTTTGATTGCTGAATAATATTCTATTATGTATATATACCACATCTTCTTGATCCAGTCACCTATTTTTGGGAATTTGTGTTGTTTCCAGGTTTTAACTATGGTAAATAGTGCTGCAATAAACATAGGTATACAGGTGCTCTTTGGTATCACTGTTTTTGTGTCCTTTGGGTAGATCCCTAGGAGTGGAATTGCCAGATCGTATGGTAGCTCCATTTTAAGTAGACTGAGAAACCTCCAGACAGCTTTCCACAGTGGTTGGACCAGTTTGCACTCCCACCAGCAATGTAGGAGAGTTCCTTTTTTCACCGCATCCTTGCCAACATCTGTTGTTACTTGGTTTTTTTTTTTTTTTAAAGATTTATTTATTTATTTGTTTGTTTGTTTATTTGTTTATTTATACAAGCACTGGGTACAGTCAGAAGTGTGGGAGGGTGAGAGAATTCACCAGAGCCAGAGCAGGGAGCAGAGCAGGCAGAAGGACCGAAGTACACTGCTGAGGGGAGCAGCGGGCGGCAGGAGAGGTCTGCGCACCATGTGGGACCCTCCTCCGGTGGCCGGGGAGCAGCCGGGGATCAAACCGGCGCCGCAGAGGCTGAGGGCAGCTTCACAACCCAGCGCTCAACTGCTTGGCCACCGGGGAGGCCCATTACTTGTTTTTTTGATACGTGCCATTCTTACTGGTGTAAGGTGGTATCTCAGTGTGCTTTTGATTTGCATTTCCCCGATGATAAGGGATGATGAACATTTTTTCATATGCCTGTTGGCCATTTGCCTTTCCTCTTTGGAGAAATGTCTTTTGAGTTCGTCTGCCCATTTCTTAACTGGATTGTTTATTTTGTTTTTGTTGAGTGGTGTAAGTTCTTTGTATATCTTTATGATCAGTCCCTTATCAGTTGAATGGAGTGCAAAGATTTTTTCCCATTCAGTGGGGTATCTCTCTGTTTCGGTTAATGTCTCTTTGGCTGTACATAAGATTTTCAGTTTGATGTAATCCCAGGTGTTTATCTTTGCCTTCACTATCACTGCTTTTGGTGATTGGTCTTTAAAGATGTTTCTGAGATGTATGTCTTGTAGTGTTTTACCTACATTTTCTTCTATATATTTTATGGTTTCAGGTCTTATGTCCAGTTCTTTTATCCATTTTGAGTCGATTTTTGTGCACGGTGAGAGGTAATAGTCTAGTTTCATTTTTTTGCATGTGGTGGTCCAGTTTTCCCAGCACCACTTATTGAATAAACTGTCCATGTTCCATTGCATATTCTTTGCTCCTTTGTCAAAGATTAGTTGTTTATATAAGTGTGGCTTTATTTCTGGGCTCTCCATTCAGTTCCATTGGTCTGTGTGTCTGTTTTTGTTCCAATACCAAACTTTTAATTATTATGGCTTTGTAGTATAGCTTGAAGTTTGGAAGTGTGATACTTCCTTTCTCCTTTGTTTTCATCAGTAGGGCTTTGGCTATTTGTGGTTTTTTTTGTGGTTCCATATGAATTTCATCAGTATTTGTTCTATTTTTTTGAAGAATGTCATTGGGATCTTTATTGGCATAGCATTGAATCTGTATATTGCTTTTGGAAGGATGGCCATTTTAATAATGTTGATTCTTCCAATCCATGAGCAGGGGATGTCTTTGCATTTCTTTGTGTCTTCTTCAATTTCTTTTAACCGTGTTTTATAATTTTCTTTGTATAGATCTTTCACCTCTTTTGTTAGGTTTATTCCCAAGTATTTCATTTTTTTTGCTTTCAATTATAAAAAGGATGGTTTTCTTGATTTCTTCTTCTTCCGATTGATTGTTTGTGTATAGGAAGGCTACTGATTTTTGTATGTTGATTTTGTATCCTGCTACTTTACTGAACTGGTTGATTATTTTGAGTAGTTTTTCTGTGGAGTTTTTTGGGTTCTCTCTGTATATTATCATATCATCTGCAAATAGTGATAGTTTTACTTCTTCTTTCCCTATTTGATTCCTTGTATGTCTTTCTCTTGTCTTATTGCCCTGCCCTCCAGTATTATATTGAAGAGCAGTGGTGAGAGTGGACAACCTTGTCTTGTTTCTGATCTTAAAGGAAAGGCCTTCAGCTTTTCGCCATTGAGAATAATGTTGGCAGTGGGTTTGTCATATATGGCTTTTATCATGTTAAGGTATGTTCCTTCTATCCTGAGAATTTCAAG